TATGATATAAATTTTTATGCTTCCTCCTCAAATATAATTCATTTTTTGTTGATTTTTTTTTGTGTGTGTGTGTCTGTGTGTTTATCACACAGAACATCCCAAACCATCTTATTCAACTATACAACCACTTTCAAGATGGCACCCTCCCTCCTCCCACTAGAGCCCTTGTACTCTGTTATCCCTGCTATGTCCTCTATGTTTTAAAAACCAGAGGGAACCATATTAGTCCGACAACCTACTGACAAATTATACATACCAGGTCAAGAAATATATGTCTAGGCAAGGTTTATCTGAGAACAATTGGTCTTTGCCCAAGATTTATCTCCATGACACACAGTAATTAAAAGTAACCAGAAGGTTAGTGGAACTAACTTTCTTGGATGTTTAACAGGCATACTTTGAGGCCTATACTAATTTGGTCAGAGGGATATAAAGAACAGTTTTTGTTCCTAGCCCTCCTAGGTCAACTAGTTCTAGGGGACTATGAGCATCTCTCAAAATGTCCTGTAATTGTGGTGGGTCACCTGTCCTCTTGATCAAGGAGGCCGAGGAGACCCCACAAGATGGACTTGAACCAGTGTCCAGTCTACAAAGAGGAGGGTCTACACAGAGGCAACATTTCCTCCATGCTTCCAAGCCAAGCCAGCCGTGGTCTAGCAGGACTTTGACTTATCTTCACATAGGTGGAACTGGTAAAAGAAAGGAGCCAGGGTCTCCTCCCATGTCCATGCGACCCCTGAGGTACAGATCCTCAAACGACCTTAAGAGTAAAAATAAATTGGTTTATCTGGGCCAAATGTATGGCCTTAAACACCCAAAAGGAAAGTATAACCAAAGATTAAAGGGGCCAATATAATTTTTTTAAGAGCAAGTGCTTTTTAACCCCTGAGCTAGCTCATGGACTCCATTTTGGTACTCTTTTAAAAGTTGAATTTAGGCTATATTAAAATTTCAAACTATGTAGTATAGTACATGCTATGATAAAAGAATTTTTGGTTCTTTTAAAATTCTTTTTTGCCCTCTATTTCAAATGTATTATTTTGGGAGTCTCTTGGACTACACTGACCAACAACTCGAAGGGAGGTTTCTTCTGTCTCACACTGTTATAGCCTTTAGCTATACACATGCACATGTACAGATCTTGTATGTGTATTTTTCAATAGGTGTTTGAACTAATATATTAACCTCTGTTTTTTTCACACTAGCTAAGCATTATTTACCTCTCCTCTCTCTCCCTATTTAACCCTCCCTCTTCTGTCCCCAGTTAAAGTACCCTCGTTTTTTCCCTTGATGATACCTGTCACCTATTCCCCTTCTCTTAGCCCTTTCTTCTCTTTTACCCCCATGGTTCCTTGTATAATGTTTCTTCCTCCCCATTTAAATACCCCCATTTTCCTCATTTCCCCCTTGGTAACACCTGTCTTCTGTTATCCCTCTCTCAGGCTCACTTTTTTCCTTTTCCATTATGGTTCCTTTCCATTTTCCTGGCAACTCTAGTTACATCAGGATATATTCTTACATAGAAGAATTTAGTGCTAAAATCTACAAATGAAGGAGAACATACATCTCTTGTTTTTCTGAGTCTGTTATTTCACTTACTATAAGAGTTTCTAGTTCCATTCATTTACTTGTAAATTTCATGATTTCATCTTTCTTTACTGTTGAGTAGAATTCCATTATGTAAATGTGCCACATTTTCATTATCCATTTCTCAGTTGAGGGACAATTAGATTGTTTCCATTTCTTAGCTATTGTGAAAAGAGCATCACCAAACATGTGTGTACAAGTATCTCTGCAGTAGGATGATTCCTTTGGGTACATGTCTAGGAGTGGTATAACTGCATTTTCTACAATAAACCTTTTTTACTGTATATTTTTTATTGAATTTTTGTGCATTTCAAGTAAAACATCTTAATCATCTTTATACCCTCTTCCCCTTCCATAACCCCTTTTAGTCACCCAACCCCCTACTGAATTTCATACATTCTGTCATGTCTTTTAAGGCCTAGCAAGTCAAGTTAGTGTACCCAGACGTCCCTCAATGCAAGTTCATCCACTGGGGTCTAGTCAGCCTTTATAGCATCACTCCCTTAAAGAAGATCAGCTCTCTTTCACCCAGCAGTAATCAGCTGCTAATAGTTCTTAGGCTCAGATTGGGGCCTGCTGCCCATTTCTCCAGTTCTGTGCTGGATTTTTGTCTGATTGACTTTGCATGGGTCCTGTGCATGATGACACCATTGCTGTAGTACATATGAGCAAGGTCCTGGGAGCCTGTAAGACTCTTTCCTTATGGTCATGTACCTCTTTCCCTGGCCCTTACAATCTTTCTGTCCTCATCTTTCACCATGGCTCCTGAGCTGTGGGTGTGTGAGGTTTAATATAGGAGTCCTATCTGGAGACCCACACTTTGTAGACTCTTATTGTCTTTACTTTGACCATTTGTGGCCTTTTGTGTTTGTTGCCCTCCGTTGCATGTTGAAGCTTCATTGATGAGTTGAGAGATGCATTATTATTCTCTCTATCCCTTGTTCCACTATGTTCCATGAACCTTACGTGTAGAGAGGTTCCATTGTAAATGTGTCACTTAGGTCTGGGCATCTCATAGACACTTATTCTCTGTGTATGGCCAGATTCTGTAGTAGTCTCTGTTGCAAAAGAAGCTTCTTTGGTGAGTGGCGACTGGTATACTTGCCTGTAAATAATAAGATTCATATTTAGCATACAGTAAGAAATTACATTTTTCTACTGATGTGATAGACATTGTCTTTTCTCTAAGGTCTATGACCTCTCCAGCCATGTGTATGTGGCTATGTTTACAGTGCCACACATGAGTTCCCTTCCATTGAGCAGACTTTAAGTCCAATTAGGTAGCTGTTGTGACCCCCAAGATATAAGTACCACAACTGCACAAATAGAGTTTATTTACTGTGTTGGTCATTGTTGTAGTTATTAGGCTTAAAGCTGGGATTGGACCATTGATTGATTTTTCTCCCTTAACAGTTTGCATAGTATCCTCTAAAACTATGAGAGCTAGTCTTCAGGAAGGTGGCTTCCAGGTCAGTTCCAGCTCCATTTCTCCAAGTCCTATGTCCAAAATATGTTCTGTCTTTCATAATATGATCTTACTTTCCAGTTCTGGAAGGTAATCAAAGGCTGTGGAAATAGCCTGTATTACTGTGGGAGTCTGTTGAACTAACCTGACCAACAACTCGAAGGGAGGTTTCTTCTGTCTCACACTGTTTCTTGTTATGTAGCCTTCAGCTGTTCACATGCACTCATGTACAGCTATTTATTGTATGTGTAAATTTTCAGTAGACTTTTGAACTAATACATTTCCCTTTGGTTTTTCACACCAGCTAAACATTATTTATCATTTATTTCTCTTCTTTCTCTCCCTGTATAACCCTCCTTCATCCCTCTCCAGTTAATAGTACCCCCATTTTCCCCATTGCACCCTTGATTTGTTTCCTCGAGTCTTTGATTTTTTTGAGTTCCTCGTATGTTATGAGTATTAACCGCCTTGAGATGCATAGCTAATGAATATTCTCTCCCATTCTGTGGGCTTCCTATTCACTTCTTTGGTTGTTCTCTTTGCTGTACAGAAGCTTGTTAGTTTAACTTGTCAATTGTTGACCTTAATTCCTAAGCAACTGATGTCAGAATTCCTGCATCTTATATCCTGTAGGGTATTGCCTGTGTTTTCTTTCGACAATTTCAGAGTTTCAGATTTCACATTGAGGTCTTTGATCCATTTGGAGTTGACTTTTGTGTAGGGTATAGATGAGGGTCTAGTTTCACTGTTCTACAGGTGGAGATCCAGTTCTGTCAGCAACATATGTTGAAGATTCTGTTTTTCCTCCAGTCTGTGCTCTGGCACCTTTGTCAAGTATCAGGTGTCTGTAACTACATGCTCTCATGTTTTGGTCTTCTATTATATTCCGTTGATTTACCTGTCTGTTTTTCTACCAGTACTGTGTTTTTATGATTATAGCTCTGTAATTTAGTTTGAGTCTGGTATGGTGATCCCCCCAGCATTGCTCTTCGTGCTCAAGATTGCTTTGACTATCTGGGGTCTTTTGAGATTCCATATGAAGTTTAGGAGTTTTTTTCTAATTCTTTGAAGAAAGTCCTGTGGATTTTTAATGGCATTGCATTGAATTTATAAATTGCTTTTGGTTGAGTGGTCATTTTCACAATATTGATTCGACC